TTAAGGAAATTATTCGGTTGGTGACTAGTTTGAGTTTTTCTTTTGGAATTTTCAATTAATTACCAAATAAATTAAATTTGTTGGTAATTTATTTTATTTTTTAAAAATAATTTAACATTGGGAAAACATTCTAATGGAATATTTTAATTTAAATTGGTCGATGAATATAAATTCATTTTCAATGCTTTTTTGTATTTTAAAATTTTAGAAGGCATACCAAATGAATTTTATTCTCGAAAGTTCAGCTTGTTATATGGGATTTTATGTTTTATTTTAAGCACTTACCATGTGAGACGATCTGTCGACGATCACGTGTCATCCATCCAATAGTAATTACATCTTCTCTTTTACTATAAAAGCTCATATTTGGTGTCATTCAAAGGCAGTGAAAATTTAAACTTTTAAAAGTAACATTACTCAATATTCTCGCTTCAAACTCGATATCATAAACATCTTTATGGCTCTCATTCATTATCTATTAGATACTCAAAATACATCTATAACTTGGCTAATTTAATCGTCACAATGCCCTCGATCCCCTTCCTCATCAACGAAGAAAGCCACACGCGCTTAATTTTTGTCCAAGTATGCAAAAACTTCACATGCAAACGGGAGTGAAGCCAAACCTATCGATCACATCATCTAATCAGAAATCGAGGTCAACAAACGAATTTCTCACACGTTAATTATAGTTTCCATTTAGAAAGATATCATAATATTCTTAAATCTTTTGAAAAATCTACCATTGTTAGCGTTGATAACAATGAGGATTTACAGGAAAAAATGTTGTCCTTAAACTATCGAAACGGCCCTACCATCATTATATATTATTTGAAAAAAAATAAAGGGGCTAGGTTGGTAGTCTATGACTGGTTAGGGGACTTGAATAAACTAGGATAAGTTGGTCTTTCCTGACTAAGTACCATTGGAATTGTATTATTCTTTGCTGAGGATTAGATCAATTTGGAATATTAATTGGAAATATATTCTTATTTCTTTATCAACTTGACCAAAAGATATGATTAGGTTTATAATTATTAATATGCTGTCACATCTACATATTATGCATAATGAAGATGAGACATATTGGTCCTTATTTTTTAAAATTCATTTTCAATTATACATTTTTTTAATAAAATAATTTTGCACGTAAACTCAAACAGAAGTATAATCATGATCATCCAATAAGAAGGGTTTACAAATTTTTTTTTTTTTTTTTCAAAAGAACAATTTGAATACATATTGATTCTAACAACTGATTGCAAATTTGATCATTCGGATATTCAGTAAGATGTATAATGATTAAGAATTGAAACAATCAATTCAGAAGGCTCCTCGGCCCATAAGACATCTTCCACATTCTGAGCGCGTCGAGCCAACATACGTGCCACTTTAATACCGGACTTCTTGACAAATGAAATAACTCAATTTTCCTACTCTTTAACCAATATATATTCCATGAAATTGAAATCACAGCATTATGATGAATGTTGACTTAGAACAAATCCCCTCTTTGGTCTAAATTTGAAAGCGGCTGTTACCAAAACATGGAAAAAATGAGAAGGGTTAGGTATATTGATTAATCCCACAATTTTAATCAAGGATATGGGAAAGATTGAAGAATTTGTTCGTTTGCAAGGAGAAGAGGCCACCGAATAGGACACGAAAAAGAGGCAGCTCGAATAATACCACTGGAATATTGCTCGGGTGGGGACAGGGGCTTCGAGTGGGCCCAACGTCAAGTTGAAATCTCATATATGGTTAATTGAGAAGATGTTTGGCTGCAAATTGACAAATTTTAACCATATTCAGTTAAGTGGTACCTACGGGTGTACCTAATGGGTTGCACTCCCCTCACATGGGAGTGGAATCCACATAAATAAAAAAATATTTTATACATGTGGGTCCCACCTGGGATCCATGTGAGGGAGTGTAACCTCTAAGGTACATCTTTTGATGTATCACTAGCAAAATCCTTCAATTAATATGAAAGGTTTTGCTGGCTGTACAGAGCTCTGTACAATAAGCATTATTGTAATATTAAAGCTTGTTTAGCAGGGATTTTAATCCAATTAAAATTGGAAATATAATCGTTATTGGGTTTCACTCGTCTAATAAAGGTCAATAATAACGGCTAATTTTTCAATTTTAATCTGATTTTAATCACTCGTAAACAAGCTCTAAACCTTTTTTTGGTAATCGTTTTTTCGAAAAAATATTGTTTTGAATAATGAATTTTTGAAGAATGTGTAATTAAAAGGTATGAAAAAATTTTGAGTTTATGTGTAAAATATTTTATTATGTGAATGTGTAATTGAAAATTACATAATTTTTTTTTTTATTATTTGAAAGAATGTGAACAAACAAACAAGGGCTAAATAGAATGTGTGTACATACATATTTTGTGAGCTAATTATTTTTCTAAAAGAATTTAGTTGTGCAAAACATAAAAATGCTCCAATAATTGGGGTGAAGATCATCTCATGGATCAAAACCAAATCATAAATTTTCTGTAAATAGAACAAAAATCACTAAAACTAAATTGGAACCTAGTTTTAATCCTGGTTCGATTCTACAAAAAAAAAAAA